GGGTTGAGTTGGTTTTGTTGAGTTGGGTTAAATTGTGTTGGGTTGAGTTGGGTTGGGTTTGATGGGTTGAGTTGGGTTGGGTTGGGTTGGGTTGGGTTGGGTTGAGTTGGGTTGGGTTGAGTTGGGTTGCATTTGTTGGGTTGAGTTGAGTTCGGTTGAATTGGGTTGGTTTTATTGAGTTGACTTGGGTTGGGTTAAATTTGGTTGGATTGGGTTCAGTTGGGTTGGGTTTGTTGGGTTGACTTGGGTTGGGTTGATTTGGTCCGGCGCGGCGGGAAATCTAAGGGGGGGGTGGGGTCATCGATGACGTCATCGGGTCGTTGGGAGGGTCGTCGATGACGTCATCGGGTCGTGGATTGGGTGGACAATGACGTCATTGGGTTAATGATGATGTCATTGGTTCATCGATGACGTCGTTGGGTCACTGATGAGGTCATTGATGATGTCATTGGGGTTTTTGGGTCATTTGATGACGTCACTGGGTTATTTATGATGTCATAGTGTTGTTGATGACGTCATTGAGTCTTTGATGACGTCGTTGGGTTATTGATGACGTCATTGGGTCATCAGTGCGGGTGTTGGTTTATTGATGACATCATCGGGTCATCAATGACGTCATTGGGTCATTGATGACATCATCGGATCATCAATGACGTCATTGGGCCATTGATGAGGTCATTGGGTCGTCAATGACGTCGTTGGGTCATTGATGACGTCATCGGGTCATTGATGAGGTCATTGGGTCGTCAATGATGTCATCGGTTATGGTTGAACTGGTCGATGAAGGGTTGGCCAGTTGGGCACTGGTTGAACTGGGCGGTGATGGTGGAAGGGTCCTTGGGGTCGTTGGGGGTCGATGGCGCCGGCGCGGTGAGAATGGGCGGATGGCCCCTCCCCCGCCCGGCTGGGATTGGCCAACGCAACCCAAACCCAACTGAGCCCAACCCAAACCCAACAAACCCAACCCAACCCAACCCAACGGAACTCAACAAACCCAACCCAACCCAACTCAACCCAAACCCAACTGAGCCCAACTCAACTCAACCCAACCCAACCCAACCCAACCCAACTCAACTCAACCCAACCCAACCCAACCCAACCCAACTCCAGAAACTCAACTCAACTCAACTCAACCCATCCCAACCCAACTCAACTCAACCCAACCCAACCCAACCCAACCCAACTCCAGAAACTCAACTCAACTCAACTCAACCCA